TAAAAAGAATAAAAACTGTGATGTAGTGACGAGAGCAGAGTTAGCAAAAAAAATATTTCAATGAGTAGAAAGAAGAAAAATAGAGTCCCCAGAGAAGACGAAATAAGCTTCCGTCTTTTGCTTCAGCTACGAAGACAGATGTAGTCTTCTCTAATAGACTCTCTGGTCTTGTTCGTTAAGGACGCTGCTTTTCAGTAGGGTTGGTTCGGCGCGGAGCCAGCGCGTTTTCCACCAGTATGGTTGCCTGTTACATTCCACGATTGGTGGAGGACGGGCTAGCGCCGCGCCGGACCCAATCGCGCTGCACGCTCATCATCCGCAGCACAGAGGAGTACTGACCGCAACTACTGGGCGGATTCACTAGACAGGGAGAAACTGAGAAAAAAGTTCAGGAGATTCTAAAGCTCGCAGGCTCCGTCTGTTTGACCTACGAGACGGAGTGCGAAGACTAACCGATATGTAATACTGTCATGTATGTTTACTCAGTACAGTATGGGACAAAGAAAAGCGCTGGAGGCGTTACTACAAACGAAAGGGCCAACGGCGTCTAACTAGGTCATCTGCTCGTCTGCACCTTTGCCCCCTCTTCGCCACATGTTTTGGTGACGCTCACTTACCGTCAGAACATATTACTCTATCCTGCTTTCTCTTTCTTAGACAGCATAGCTAGGCTTTGTCGCGTAGGAAAATGACGTGGGCAGGTTTCGTTGCACAGCGCTGCGCTGGCCTTCGACATCTGGATTAGTGACTCACGAGGAGCTCCAAATATGGCCCGACTGTGATCAAGATGACGGCAAAGCATGCCCAGCTAGGAGAGAAAGGAGACGTCGAAGAAATGTAGAGGGATTTGCGGCGCAGTTCGCGACGGGGGGGCATTTTGTACTATCATTGCTTCCTTAGTTCCGGTTTACAAGTCTCACTCTGGCGAAACCTGTGAACTCTTGTGAAGCTGGAGCAAGGTCGTCAAGCCATCATGTTAAAACCTGTCAACTCTCCCCTCCCCGTCGCCGAACTGCGCCGAGATCTGCGAACACGCTGGATGAAAGCCAAGGTTGGTGTTGATGTCAAAAGAATCAAAACATCTAGGTTCGCATGCAGTTATGGTATCGATGTGCTTTACGTCCATCGCACGGGCGAAAATAGGCATACCGTTGGATTTTCTTCATTGGTGCGCCTCAGTTCTATTACGGTGAAGGGGGAGGAGGGTACGAGGAGGGGCGCGTCACTGAGAATGGTAGGATGTAGAACCTCATTGGTGCGCCTCATTTCTGTCACGGTCGCGAGGAGGGGCGCGTCACTGAGAATGGTAGAATGTAGGCCTAATTCTACCCATACCAATGGCGTGAACTGTGCAGGACCGAACTTTGCAAATAGAGGAATCCTTGGCGCAGTTCGGCGACGGGGGGGGGGGCATTTTGCTTCCCATCGATGTGTCGACCCATCTAGATAGCCTTTTCTTGAGTTGACACGTTTTACCATGGTGGCTAGACGAGCTTGCTCCAGCTTCACAAGAGTTCACAAGTTTCACCAGAGTGAGACTTGTAAACCGGAAGTAGTGAAGCAGTGAAAATGCAAAATGCCCCCCCCCCCGTCGCCGAACTGCGCTGGAATCCTTCATGGTTTGCGTGGCTGTTCCCTTTACTGGGAAATCTCCTATGCTACGCGATTGCTTAACTGGATACGATTGGTCCCGATCTTACGAGGAGGCTGAATTCCGCCTCTAGCCACTGCGCTACCCTTGGTCACAGGTTAGAGTTTACAAGAAAAAAAATTGGTTGTAAAATGCTTACTTCATAGTGTCAACAAAGGTGGAGAAACTGTCAACAAGGCTCATTAATCGATCACAATTGCCATACTCGTAACTGAAACCATAAAGCGCTTTGTTGATGATGTTCGCAATATACATCTGAAACAGTGAATATTGAATATGCCTTTTAATTTTCGGTACTGTTCGGCTTGGGGGGGGGTACATTTTGCACTTCCGCCTCTCTATTAGCTAGATAATGTTAACTGATAGGTTTACTTGTAAACATTGTGAAGCTGCAAAGTGGTACATGTGAGCCACTTTGGTAACCGGAATTTGCTGGTCTTAACAAGATGAGCTTGGTACATTTGGTGCCCCCCCCTAAGCCGAACTGTACCCAATTTTCTTCAGTACTTCTAGACACAGAAACGCACCTGGATAGGCCGTTTCAAACAGAGCTCCTCCTTGTTGTTCAGAGAGGACAGATGCTTGAGGAACTCCTGGGCTGAAGCGAGCACCTGAATGACGAAACACTGAGTGTCAGCGTGTAAGGAAGCTGTCTAAAAGAAGTGAAAAGGGGGGGGGGGGCTCAACTTTCTGAGCACTCGCATTTTCCAGCAGCTGACCATGCATAATTCTAAGGAAGTTCTTGAGTATTACCTGCTCCTCCAGCAGGTGCTTTTTCATTCCATACTCATAGAGGATTCGCAGGAATGCTCTACGTTGTTCCCTCCAGACTCGACTCTGAAAAGCAGCAAATAGCCAATAAAAACACTTTATGTAGAAGGACTGACTAGTTTATAAACTAGTAGAGCGCAGCAACTGAATACTTTGAAAGTCACCTTCTGGAAAACGGGCCCGTTGTTCTCAGTATTCAGGAATATGGTTTCAGGGAAAACCCCACATCGGCCAGCGAAGTCATCACCTGAATGCCTTTATTTAGGTCTTATTTTTCAAATTGCCAGGGTAATTGTAATTGACTGCTCGAGCTCAGGAACAATCGAGTAAAAAAAATTAAAAAGAAATCTGCTTGAAGTAGATGAATGCTTATTTGAGAGCTGTTCGGCTTAGGAGGGACATTTTGCACTTTCTCTGTTCCATTTGCCACATCATGTGAACTAACACATAAATTCTTGAGAAGCCGCGAAACGGTACTGAGGAGTCGCTTTGGTTACACGAAGTTGCAGGACTTTACAAGTTTGACCTTTGAACAGCTCCATCTTCTGAAGATTGGTGGTCTTTCCAAGAAGATAGCCTATACAGGCTTTGCTGTGTACCACTGCTGCCCCCACCAGGCCAAACTGCACCCTTTTATGCGGGTACCTAACAACGGAGTACGAGTATCTGAGCTTGGTGAAGAGAGTTTGGCCCGCGGGTAGCGTTCTTGATGGTGAGTATTTTCAACTCTAATCGAAATAAGAATGCCCCAGCCGTTTTATCGACAAGTGCTAAGCCGTGCTGTGGCGCATTTCGGCTCAGGAAGGTGGAGTGATGAGAGGAGGGGTGGGTGCTATTCACACGATCCCCTGTAATGCAAACTTTGGCAAAGCTACGGAATACGGCGGGGTTAATTTTTAGATTACTTTCTATTGCAGTCATTTGGAGTTCTTTTCCAACTCAACCCCTTCTCCTGGGCATTTGGCAAATGTCTCGTTATTGGTCGGGATATTTCTTCAGACCAATCTCCACTGAATACGGTCTGACAAAAGAAAGAACAACGAAGAAGTGGCATGGGAATGGGCTCTGCACCTTTTCGTAGCTTCACGAGAGTTCCTAGGCCTCTTCAGAATTGGTCCAGCACTTTGACAGGAATCAAATAATTCCCCCTTCTTAACCGTAGGTCGAACCTCCCCCTTGCCTCTTAAACTAAATTCCACTCCCAGCCCCAGTCGTGGACTATGCCAAACTGGAACAGATGCTGTGCTGGTTTGAACAAATTTTCAGCTACACGGCTCATAGAAGGTAAACCTTCCTCACGTTTCCGAAAGTCGGGAGTGTGGTCCGATGTCTCCCACCAATCACAGTTGAACTGCTGGCCCGCCTCCTTGCCTACGCTTCCAGGGTTTTCTAAATTCTCATCTGGAAAATCAAAGCCCCTAACATCGAGATGTATGGGTTTTAACACGTTGACGACAACGCGCGTTTTGACTTTTCGGCCGCGTGGGACACGCGCACTTTTTCGAACGCGACAGGCGCGAGACTCATACAATTCACGCGGTCCCACGAGGCGCCCTTTTTTACAGGTTGGATCAGAAAATCTGATTTGGAGAGCAAGTATAAAGTAAGTCAACTCAAATACTAGTAGCACATAAAAGATTCACAAAAGGCCAGAACTCGCTCAAGAAGATGCTTATTCAGGCGCACGAAAATGGCTAATAACTTTGAAAACGTTGAGGATACTTTGGACTTCACCAACAACTAATCACATCGGATGATGATGTACGCAAAACATCGAAGTGGTACAAGAGAATATTCTTCCATTTGCTCACGCAAACAGCAGTGGTGAACGCTTGGAAGCTATACAGGGGGGCAGCAAAAAAGTCACTTTTCTTCCTTGACATTCGAGGCGTTATAAGTTACACTTTATCGAATCCTGATCGGACAATTCTACCACCATATTAAAGAGCAGGTTAAATACTATCATGATACTCCGCCACAGCCTTCTGGAGGAGCGCCGTCGAGAGATTCTGCCACGCAACCGTGGTTCGGTACGTGGCTTCAGCGAGATAGTTGATTTCTCGACCACTGTAGACCCCCTTGTTGAGCTCCTCCTGAACCCGGTAATTGAGAGGGTTTAGGTCAGGGGACATACTTGAAATATTTCATCTCTTCAGGTACTAAACGTACCTTCCCTTCTTAAGGTAGGCAAGGTTTTTCCAAAATCCCCTTCCGTTCCATGTGGTGGCCACCCAAATGTAACCGTACAAAGTTTCCAAGAAGGTACGGGCGACGACATGTAGGGAGGATATTCTTCTCGAGTTGCTCGATGTACCCGCCAGCACTCACCTAGTATGAGTATGAGGAGAAGTAAACAAAAAACTCAGGCATGGTGGTGAAAAGAAATGGATGTTCGTTGGATTCTGGTGAGATCGGATTACTATGCACGCCGGTCCACGAGGCTACAACGCGCTGATTCAATGTGTCTCACAGCGGTCGTCAATGCTGGTTAAAATTGAGTTCATTGTTAACTGCAAAAAGTTCAATGCAAATGGGTTTTTCCGCGCGTGCGCCCCCTTAGGCCGCGAGTCTGAACAACTCCTAGAAAAAGGTGGGGCGCGTTACGTGCGCATTCCATAGGGGCGAATCAGTCATGCAAAATCTTCGATTTGCACCTATGCAGTGGGCAAGCACTTGCCATGTGGCGCCAAAATTTCATGGATTTTTGTTTACTTTATAGTATTACATGCGCATGATGCCACGCAATATCCCTTGCAGATAGTGGGTAGGCGTGCCGTGCCGATACCTCAACTAAACGTGGCGGCGCACGTTGGTCTTTTCGGAGAGATTATTTTCATCTCGACCTCAATTGTGTGTTAATACTCTGCCGATGACAGCTTTCTTTCAAACTGAACATCCACGATGTAAAACCGCTTGTTATGCATGTTTAGTGCCACGCCTTCAGCTTCTTTCTCCAGGTGATAAGACCTATGCTTACATGTTCGCTCATCATTACGGGACTGTCGGGGCGGCACAGCCGAGCTGCAATGTGACGCGACGCTCGGTGACAGTAAATCAGCCATGGAATTCGGCTGCAAATTCCCACTTTTTCAGCTCTTCAAGCTTCTAAAGTGGAAGGTGAGTTATTCTGAACAATTTTGAATTGTACTGGCTCTGATTTCCTTTATTTTGCCGATTATTTATTGCTTTTGTATTGTAATTTTGCCTTATTTCAGGCATTTATTCAAATGGCTTGCATTCTTTCAGATTCATTCAGAGTCAGTACAATTTAAAATTGCTCAAAATAACTCACCTTCTACTTTCGAGCTTTGAAGGATTGAAAAGGAGAATTTGCAGCCGAATTCCAGTTGGAATAGCGTGTGATTCACGTCACCGAGCCGCAGCCGCCTGTCGCGTCACATTGCAGCACGGCTCTCCTCCGCCCCCCCCGGACAGGTCCCTATGATGAGGACTGCTAGTGTGCGGCGCGTAGTCCGATCATTACATATCCTATACTTGCAATTTCTAAAAATCTTACCATCTTTGATGAAGGCGTCCTTAAGAAGTTTATAGTCAGTAATAACAGCATAGGGTTTTGGCAGCCAAATAGTGAATATACCACCGAATTCCTCGGAATATCTTTTGAAGTTTTCGTGCAATTTGCGAAAATTCAGCTGAAAACTCGAGTCTCTTCGTTGTGTCCTGACATATAGTTCGAAGGTAGTGGGTAAAGCCTTTTTGCTGCGCGACACTTTAGCGGGGTCTGAGTCACGGGCAGAAGCCAATCCTTTTCTCTACCGATTGCTGTCTGTGTTGCACGTTGATGTGGAGAAGGGCTGGCGCGGGTGTGAGGTTCCCGCTTCACATTGGACTTAAATGCCCCCCCCCCCCGCCCGCTGTGGTCCGGACCGAACACTCTCTGGGTGGAACTGGAACAATGTCTGAATCTTGGCTAGGGTAGGCGTTGGGGAAGGAAGGAGTGTCGAGACCCTATCCTCGGTGGGGGGAGGGGTCGTACCAGGATCCTTTTCCGGAGGGGGGTCGTACTGACACCACCACTTCACACATCACGTTGCTGTACCCTGTCCATCTAATCAAAACGAACCTGCCTTTATAAATCGAGATGCTTACCGAAAGAAGATTTCCGACGAATGGATAAGGACGTGGTCCTTTTGGATAGCGATCAACTTTCTGATAAAATAGCCATAAAAGAAGAACTGTAAGACTAGCCATGTAGAGAAGTATCCAAAATGGATCCATCCTGCAGCTAATAAAAACGACTTGACCTTATCGGAAACTCTACAATTTGTGAACGTTGCAGGCTATACTCTGCCTGAAACATCGTTGTCAACAGAATTTCAAAAGCTTACAAGAACTGGTTAAAGACAGCTCCCGCGATAAAAGTGTCACGGATAGTTGATGTTCAATTATGAAACAGTAGCTGATAGGCAATTCCCCAGTGTCCTCAAGAAACACCATAAAAAATCGCGCCCTGACAGTCACACCTCCTTGCGGTCTCTGTGCGAAGCCCTGGCTCACAAATCACTTTATCACATCTCCCAGTAGTGGATATTCGAATGCGGAAGAAAAGAATTAGAAAAAAACAAACAAAAAATCAGGAGAGAAAAAAACTCTGAAAGAAAAGAGAAACATTTGAAAGCCCGGATTCGGAATCTTAGGGTTACCGGGGGCGGTTTATATATTTAAGTGTCGTGAAGTTGCGTCGAACGTTGCACCACGAAAAGGTGGTGCGCTCGTGATTTTACGCGTTTTATCTTGCGAGATGTGTTGGAGTTGACTGTATGTGCTCCTGATTAATAAAATGTAATAAAGGAGAGCAGAATCATTCATGGACATGAGCCGCCTGTAGTTATGAAAAAGGAATGCTATTAGCGATTTAATGCCCGCCGTCAAAACGCAAAGGACAAAGACTGAGCTGGCCCTCTTCGGAGGGCAATCTAGCAGTTGGGCGGCTGCCAACCTGAGCAGGGCGTTAGAACTAGCAAACTGTCAGTGCTGTAGCTCGCACTCGCATCGCTGCGGGGAGTAGGCGATGAGTGTGATAGTCTTTAACTTGCCGGGGGCGGGGCTAGTACCTATACTACACATAGTAATGACGACCATGTACTAGCCTTGTAGCGCCTGGGGCTGTCTTCAATAACAAATTCCACGTTTGATATGTGGGCTCTGAAACAATCCATCGGTGTGGCCTTAAAGTAGAACGCAATTTCTCATTTCTTGCGTCTTGCGAAGGAGAGAGAGAGAAGACGAGAGAGGAGAGAGAGAGATGAGGAGAGAGGAGAGAGAGAGAGAGAGAGGAGAGAGAGAGAGAGAGAGAGAGCACGCTGAGGAGAAAGCCACGATGGTTGACTGTTCAAATCTCAGGGTGTAGACCAAAATATTCTACTTATTGACTTCAGAAGCCCTCATATGCTGGCGAGGTTGCCTGAATCTAGTGAGAATGCCAATAATCACAAGTTTGGGGCCGAAACCTCTGCTCGGAACTCAGCATTCATAAGATAACTTTCGGTCTCAAAATCGCAGTATTGACCCCTTTCGTAGTTTTTTTTTCCTGGAACAAAGTCCTAGTTTTATACTCCCCAAGAGCTACGTGCAAGCCATCGTTTTCAAATGTCTCTGGGAACGCGAACGACAACGTCGAAGTGTGGAAAGTGAAGCAATAAAGAAAGCGATAGAGTCAGACGACCTCGAGTCGTTGGATGACCCTATGCGACGATCGCAAACCATTTCTATGTGATTGGGACGAACAACTGGCACAGCGAACGGGCGCCACATTACTGACAAAAAGGTTGTGATCCAGTACAAATCGCGAATGCTGAGTATTTTCTTTGACTGTTGTTAGGGAAGGGCCGAGGCAGAGTAGTGATAAGTGGTCCACTGTGGTTTACCAGGCGCGCGGTTCGGGGACATGACCAACCAAGCCTTCCACTTTCCGTGGACCGTAATTTGGTACCGCCTCCATCTGGCGGGGAAAGGGAGGGAAAGTACGTACTTACTTACTTGCACATTGCCTGGTACCGCAGGTTCTTGATGCCACCCCCTCTGGCCATCTCCTTAGAATATCACTACGAATCTGAATGGAATCAGGATGCGTGCCGTATCATTGAAATCGATCGATCAGCAGCGGAGGCTTTCCTTTATCATTAGAACCGATTGATCAGAAGCGTAGGCTTTCCTTCATCCTAATTTTGTTGGAAACAATTCTCACTGCCGAAGGAAAGAGTTCAAGGAGTCTACACAGCATAGCTCGTCGTGGCAGAGCCTGAGAGTCAGCGATGGGAGAGTGCACATAGATTTTTGAAGGTTGGATGATTCCGCTGGAGTGCCCAGGAGCATATTCAGGAAGCTGTGGGGAAAAAACCAGGAAACTAAAGGAAAACTCGGGCTGAAACTTTCGAGAAAAAGCATCTAATTTGGACATTACAGTGGACAAATACTAACCACAAGACATGTACGATAAAGCACGGCTCAGGGTACACTTATAAAGGTTTTAATGAGCCTAAATGTCTAAAAGTATTGAAGTCACCAAGCAACGAATACAGAACGGTTCGCCTTTCTCGCCGTACGGCCCTGACCTTGCGTCATCTCAGTGCCATTCATTTTCGCCATGCGGTAATTCTTGGGAGAAGAAGGAAGGTCAGCGTAGCCCAGTTTTTTCTTCCCATACCAGAAAAGTTTAAATCAATCTCTATTTTTAGTAGCTTCTAGTCGGGGACAGCCGAGTACAGCTATTTCCTCAGAAAAGAACGAAACAGAAAAAAAGGGAAAAGTAGCAAAACCTGAAGGTTGTTGACCTTTAAGAATGACCAATCCTTTCGCAATTTACTCGCGGCTACGAGAGTTGCCGCACCCGCTCTAACTATTTGATGAAGAGTAGGTGAAAGTCACTGCACAATTTAATAAAATAAAAAAAATAGAAATAGTCTGCGTGAGCAGCGACGAAAAATTACAATGCAGATGCAGTCCCGGCTCGTCGTACGAGTTGGACGGCAGTTCCCCTGACGACAATTCCCTAGTTTCCCAAGAACTAGAGAAGATAGGGAAGTTTTTGAAGTTAATTTAGGGATATGGTAGATAGACCCTGGACACGGAGCCGGATGCCTTTGCCTTCCAGGCGCTCCGACTGGTATGAGGACTTACTATATAATCGATTAATCCTCCATCGTAACCGTCTATATCGGCGACATCGTTTTGACGCATGCTAATACTATAGCCAACGAAAGGGGCAAGGTCAATGGGTGCCTTTGCGGACTTCGACTTCACGAACTCTCAAGGATAATGTGGTGTCCCTGAGATTTGTTTCATACGCACTGCTATGATTCTCTCAGTGAACAGATCCCGGAACCGCAGTTTCGAAAGGGTTAGCTCAAGTCGTTTCGGCACCATTTCCTCTCCGCGATTTAATTTTTAGCCGTTATAGCTATACTCGAAATCCCTGAGATCGGGTAGGCGTGGCTGCATTCTTCAACTTAACCTGAAGGTGTCTATGCTTCTGGTGAGATATTTTCATCTTGACACAATTGTTGTCGTGTCTCTGTCCACAGAACAAGATGACAGTTGTCCCAGACTGGAATATTCCACGAGTAACCAATTCCGTGCCATGTTCAAATGCCACGCCTACTCTGGCTCAGGGATAAGGAGTGTAGATTTCTGCAGAGATCCACATCAGTATGTGTAGCATTAGTGCCGCAAGCGTACGATCCAGTACATATCACATTACAAATTCACTGAAAACTCAGTAAACTCTTTTTTCAGATCATCTACACTCTGACCTTGTTTTCCCCTCTCTGGAACTTTTGAAGACACACTTTACACTCTCCCCAGTGGGTCCTGATCTTTGCCATGTGTGAGATAATTTAGTCCGCAGGGATGTCACCTACACAGGTCACAAGTGCACGGAAAAAGGGCTGATGGTAGTGGCCCAAATGCTGTCTTCATACTTCATCCGCGCTGCTGCACCGCCAGCCACACGCCTAACCGTAGGCGAGCTTGCCTTCTTGTGAAGGGCTGGACCTTGAATATAAGCGGGCGGGGCCGGGGCCGGGACGACACCCGCGTACATATGACTTCTCATAGGCCTTATTCCTGGGCACTTTCGAGCGGAGAAAGTACTATTACGCTACCGCAACGGCATATATCCGCACACGGCAGGAACCGTTCTCGGAGGTGAGCTTAAAAGTTGTTTTTAAGAATTCACGCCCCCTTACTTCTAATGCAAATAGAACTTCACACTGTTTATTCGGACATTCTGTTTACAAATTAATACAAGACCTTTGAAAAGGAAGTATTCATAAAAAAGCGTTACAATTCAGTAGTGGTCAGTGAACAAGAACCCGCTCGTTTAGAATTCTTATAAGTGGTTTCAGTTAGTCTGATTTATGGAATCAATCGAGTGGTCTGTCGTGTGAGAAGAAGCGACTCCAGCATAGATCGTTCAAGTCAATGCGTCCGTCCTCTGGCAGGTTCGATTCTGAAAATTCATTGAACAAGACGCTGTTGAAATCATTTTTTAGGTACCAGGAATTTTCCGTAGCTCAGGTTGTCGCAGTAAACCCAAATGAAGGCTATCATCGGAATGCTGGGTTACGGGTAAAAGTATTTACCTCAGCTGGGACTCGAACCCTCACCTCACGCGTTCTGCGAGTGCGATATCCCTTACGCCACCATTCCAAACAAAGGATTTTGGTTGGTAGAGGCCCGCGGGAAATAGGGCTTTAGTGTTTAGCTAATGTCTTGTTATGTGGGCCACGGGCCACACTTTTGACCTCAAACGATCTCGAACACAGGCTCATCCACTACGCTATCAAGGACCCATGCTAAGCGAATAGATTTGAGCCGGCTCAGCGTTGACAGTGATGATGGTGGGAATAAATTGTGACAAAAAGTGCTCGGTTCATAAACCACCTGCTGATTGAGTAACCTCTCGCGTGGGTGCGTCGCGGCTGACTGTGCAGTGCTTTTCGCTGCAGGGGCGTATTGAGGCGGTAAGTCTGGGCTTCTGGCGCTGGCGCCAGTCAATTCCCCATCAATTTCTGAAGCAAGGCAGCGAGAATAATTGGTGGAAAATGGGCTAGCGCTGCGTCAAAACCTAGTCTCTTGACATGCTAAGCGTCTGCAGCGAAAACGATAACACAATACATCTCCTAGTGGTATAGGCTTCTCTGGGAATGAACTCGCCTAAATCATACCTATTTAAAAGCCCGTTTTCCAATATTAAATGTCATTAACTTCTGATGGAGTTGTTTCATTCGCAAAAACCTACTTACCTTGTAGTTTTGAAGGAGTATGACGACACCAATGAAAAGCTCAACTCTAGCCAAAGCCTCTCCAGCACATTGCCGTTTTCCCATGGAGAATGGGCAGAGGTGATCAATCGCCTCCTGAATTGCGCAACCTCAGCATTTCTGATACACACCATGCTTTGTTATTATGCATCTAACCCTTATGAGAGGTGGGTGCGTAGAACTGGAAATGCACGGCTGTGAGGCATCTGCCTAGCCAAATCTGTTACCGTCAAGAATAAAAAGTTTTTTTTTCTGACAGGGGTGACCAAATGGCTACCTTCTAGTAAATCAAAAGAGGCATTCCAACGAATGGGCGTCTACTGTGAAAGGATTTCGACGGCGGCGTTCAGCCATGCGGCTATCCACTCTGCCGCACCGATATATGGTCCTATTCGGAAGATTGTGGACCACCCTCCACGTAACTTTTTTTGCCTCGGGATTGAATTTTAGTTGTTATGTTCGGCGTTTAAAAATGGAACCTGATCATATACCTTGTTAGGGGTGACACCGTCTTCCATAAGAAAACGTTCAGGGCGGAATTCGTGACCGTCTTTGAACCGGCGAGCACGCCCCGCAATGCGCAACGCTCCTTATCGTGGACTTCGCCCCGTACACCATGGGTCGTCTGCGGCGATCGTACACTCCTCTCACAGAGGTATCCCTCACAGTCCGATGGACGACATTCATTGGAAGAATATTTGCCCGTCGTTGAAGTTCTTGGATAGCTGCACTGAAAAATGCACCTACATACATCCAATAGAAGTAAAGAAAGGCCCTCTCGAAAGCTACAGCCACATAGGTGTTCAGGCGAATGAGTCGAACTACCACGTTCTTCATCAAAGTGCACCCCGTATAAGTAAGAAGCCCACAAACAAGTTAGGAAGCGCAAGTGGTACGTCTGATTCCGCCCGCACCAACAGGATGTGTACGAGTTTTCCCAATAGAAGGCCTCAAAAGAGATAGAGACTGTAAGACTGCAATGAGCGAGAGCAACTACTCTTAACAAAAGTTATTCATATTGTTAGCGGCTGCTTAGTTGACAGGAGCTAACGACGATAGACGATAAAACTGTTGGTGTAGCTTTGAATTGCTGCGATTTAATTTGCTCTTGTGCTTCACTTTGTGGAGGGATTTTTCTGCCGCTTTGTGACGACGTTGGCTGCCGCTGGACCACAACCCGCATGCATTCGTTCACGAATTTGTTCCGTGCAAAAAGCGTTGCAAACATGGAAACAAACAGCAGTAACTAAGTGAAACAGAAATTCAGGACAAACGAAAGATATTGACACAACATCAAACAATGCAAATATTCATGAAAAAAAAAAAAAAAAAATAATTAGTAGAGAGTGACGAGAGGCTCAAATAGGGAAAATGCCAGATATTTAGCAGATTGTCTTCAATTGAAGTGAAGCCTTTATCCCATATGGCCATGGTACACCGAAGTTCAGCATAGCAAGGGGTATACAGTAGCTCAAATTGAGCATGAATTCGAGGGATTGCTTTTCGTGAATGGACACTATGGGAGCAGTTTGTCGACGGGGGGGGGGGGGGGGGCATTCTGCTTTCCATAGATGTGCCGACCCTAGGTAGCCTTTTCTCGAGTTAACACGTTTTAGGATGGTGGCTAGACTATCTTGCACCAGCTTCACAAGGGTTCACAAGTTTTACCAGGGTGAGATTTGTAAACTGGAACTAGGGAAGCAGTGGTAGTACAAACTGTCCCCCCCCACCCCCCGTCGACAAACCGCGCCCACACTATGTTCTCACTGCGCCCCACTCGGCATCTTCCCACGGCCGACCTTGTGGGTGGGAAGCAATACTTGCCGCCTCAAATCTGTGCGTTGCAGCCAGAAACGAAGGGCATTAACGGCAAGCAACTGTGTTCCTTCGCGTTGGACGATGCCAATTTATTCTACGCATTGCGAGACTGCTATACCTCTTACTGCTATTCCGAATGATAAATCGTATATTTAATAGCGCTTGCGGTGGACTCACCTGAACATCTGGATTGACTTGCCCATAAAATAAACCAGTGGTGCCCATCTAAGCGGTTTTGTCCGTGGTTGTCTCCATACCAGCAGTATAGAAGTCCATGCCCATTACATATCAGTAGGATTCTCATAGCTGAACCTCGATTTCGCAAAATTTTTTCAGTTGTGTGGTAGGCAAAGTAGCCGACCGCTGTCACGGGGCGAGAGGCTAGATCCTGATGTTACGGAGGCAAAATTGTTAAACACAGCCCGTGTCCCGGAAGTCGGGAGGGTGTGTTAGTTGTAAGCGCAGCGGCGCTCGACAGCGGCAGTGGTCAATTGGATGCGTAGAATCACGACAACCGAGACAACCAGGAAGAATACTTTCCATGATCGTTTCTGCGAGGTCCCAGACGGAATAGAGGCAACGACGTATGCATAAGAGAGAAAGAGACCACATACAGCATGGGCGCAGCATCAAATTGTGGAAAACTTTCCGAAAAATACGCCTTCATCCCGCATTTTTTTCGTCACCCTTTCCTATTCTACCAGCTGACTTCTCGGAGTACACCACTTTTTTGCTGCTGGACGTAGGGGAGGTGGGAAGGACGGGGTGAAAACGATCTGGACTTTTCATGAGCTGAAGTTAATACCATTATTTGACTTACTTCAAAAAGGGATTGCTCTGCATTTTCTGGTAATACGCTTGAACTAGACATTCAGGCTCCTGGTCAACCGTATATGATTCCAACGCTTTCGCTACATCCTCTCTGATAGTACGACGAAGCTAAAAATGCAACAAAAATTGGAGCGAATCTGTTATAGTTTCTGTCAACCAAAAAATTCAAAAATAATTTCCGAAAATAAAAGCTCAGAAACTCACTCCCGAGATCATGTCTACGAATCGTCCTTTGGACATATGGCCAATGATCGGTAGACGGTAAATAATAGGAAATAGCTGTCCAATGAACATCAACGGGGTCGCTCTTCAATGATAGGAACATTATTTTATCAAATCCTCTCTTCTGAGAGGATCCCATTCAACATTGTTGTTGGCTAGTCCCGCCCATACTTTAAGCGTGGAAAGTGTTGTCGACCAAGAGAAAGCACTCACTTCATTGATTCTATCAGGCAGTTGAGTTCATTGGCGGCATCCATCATCCTACCGCAATTATCATAATCGTAGCTGAACCCGTATAAAGTCTTGTTGATGATGTTTCCTATGAAAACCTAAAGAACGATTCCTTTAG